ATTTGAGTACCATTTAGATCATTAGGAACTCTAGCATAAAAATTAAATAGGTGTTTCATTAAGGCTATCTATCTATCTATCTATCAGATCTATCTATCATCTATCTATCTATCTATCTATCTATCTATCTATCTATCTATCTATCATCATCTATCTATAATCTATGTATCTATGTATCCATCATCTATCTTTTATAGATCTATCTGGAGAAAAATGTTCTTGTTTCTTTGCATTTTCATTAACATTATTAAGAGTTACAAACCAAGCAGGGCACTGAGGTCTGTGAAAGGAACAGCTGTGTAGAACTGTCACCTTGAAGTTTTGAGCTAGGTCTTTTACAGACTGCTTTTAGAAAGACACCAGTGGCTTTGTGTTTTACAATTATTAAAAGAAAATAGGGAAGTAATTATTAAGGACAGCTGCGATGGCATCATGGTCTTTCCTCATGTTTACACTGTTGGGCTTTGGAATTTGGAATACTGATCCACCTTACGATGTTCTGATATTTGTCCCCGTCTTGATTGTGGACAGATGCTGAGGATTTCTTTGACTGGGCACAGTGTAAGGCTTCCCCTGGGCCTCCTAAATCAGAGAGGCCCAGTTTTCCACTCTTTAAGGCATGTTTCCTATATGGAGCAACAATGTGGAACTTTTGTACCCAACTATCTTCTCTTCATGCTAACACATACACTATCAAGTTGCGGCTCAGAGAGGAACAAGCAGCTTATTTAGGCCACCACTTCCTCAGGCATTGCTGTTTCATACAGGATACCCTTGGCTCTGTAATTTGACAGGATGGAGTGAATAGTTAATCTGCACAGGCCCATGGAGACCTTGCTCTGCACCGAATAGTGTCCTGGGGACCTAGTGATAGAGGGGTAAGCAAGACTGCTGTGGTTCTTGCCTTCAAGCAATGAGGACAGCAGGAAACCCACAATCCCATGAAGGCAGTTGCATGGGTGGGGGGCAGTGCTTGCTCAGGTCTGGGTAGGGTCTCCCCTCTAACCCTCCCCTCTGTACAGTACTTACTGTGTCTGATGGGCATTGGTGCACAGGTGACTGGTGCCCTCTCTCCTGCCATTGTAGCTGGAACTAAGCTCAACTGGCAAGTTCAAGTTCACTTTCACCAGCTTCTGCTCAGTTTAGAGATGAATCAGGGGAAGCTGTTGGGCTCCAGCTATGGAACAGTCATTTCTTCTCTTTTAATTGAGAAGGGGTGGGGCTCACCTCTCTCTCTAGAAGGTTCTAGGCTTTTCCAGAGAAGCCTAGCAAGTTTTGAGAATGCTTGAGGTAGGTGATGGGGACAGGTGGGTGGAAGCTGTCTTCTATAGCACAGCTGGGGAGTGGTGATGTCTGAGTCTTCACAGCTGCATCCTAAAGGCTAGGACTGCTCACAGATCATGTGAGACAGTAACAGGACACGGCAACTACTTGAATGGAGTGCCACCAAATGATGCGTGTGATGGGGGCTTCCTGGATGACTTGAGTCTGGGTCAGCGGGGGCTATACTGTTGGGCTGGAGACCTTTCACATTGGGCAAACAAATGGCCAGGTTATGTCAGCACAATCACTGCTCCTCCCTTCGCAGCCCCCCAGGAGTCAGGTAGAACAGCCAGTGTGGGACCAGAGTAGCATGGGGCCAGTGATGGCACAGAGCCATCCCCCCTGCACTCAGGGAGGGGCTTTGCTGCTGCCTTATAGAGCTGCAGAAAGGCCCCTGTACACCACACAGCGACTTTGGATAGGTTCTGCTTTCCTCTTGGGGAGGCGCCTGAGCTCCCTGACAAGGCTGAAGTCCTGTGAGGATGGCTGTTTAGGACAAGAATGGTTTCAATGAGTTGAGAGGCAACATTTCTTATCTGTAACTGTGAGCTTAGGTAAACACTAAGGTCCAGATGTAAGTCTGGTCTCTCTTTGCAATTCTAATGAACTTCAGTGTTGCAACCGTAAACGTATCTGTTAGAGTTAAAAAGATATGCAAAAACCTGTCCTTTTTACCCTTCACCTCAAAATGCCATTCTGAAAACTTCCTGTTAGTTTAAAAATTTTTCCAATGCTGCTACCAGGCACTGAACACTGTGTCCCCAAGGCAATGAGTTATGGACCCTGCCAGTGATGGCTGGCCCCACATTCTCAGTACGCCCTGTGAGCCTGTTTTTCTGAGGATGGGCAGTGCCCCGCCTGCCTGGTTCAACTTCCCTCTTCGCCTTCAAACACTCTTTAGTCATCTAGGTTTGAACTTGTGGCCAGCCCTCTTCCAGGCCAGCAAAATGCAAGTTTGAGAGAACAGAGCAAGCTAAGAAACCTAGCCCCAAACCATCAAAGCTCAGCTTGTCTGGGAACACAGATACTGTGCTTTCCCTGGACAGTGGTCGGAAACCCTTCACTTTTTCCTGCCAAATTTGACCTGAGGCAAACCTGGGAAAAACAGGCTGATGGTCCCCAACTTACTATGGTTCCACTTGTGATTTTCATCTTTATCATGGCACAAAAGGGTACGTGCATAACTATTCTCCTTTCCATGTTCAACAGGATATGCAATAAGTTAGTGAAAGTATTGCAAAATAAGCTTTGTGACAGATGGTTTGGCCCAACCATAGGCTAACAGGAGTATTACGAGCATATTTAAGGTGGTCCAGGTGAGGCTGTGGCACTTAGTTGGTTAGGTGACTAAAATGCATTTTTGACTTAAAATATTTTCAAATTACAGTGGATTTATTGGGAAAACAACCCCATCAAAAGTAGAATGGCCCTGTATTTGGAGAGAGTGTTTTTTTACAGGAAACCAAACTAATGAGCCTGGGGGAGATGAGTGGAGGAGGGCTGCTCACAGGCAGAAGAAGGATGCTCTCTAGCAGAAGTGTGTCCCCTCGGCCCATGGAGTGGCTAGAGAAGGTGGGAGGAGTTAGACTCTTGCCTCCCCGCCGAGACAGTTGCTCAGTTGCTCTTCTTTAAGTCTCTTCGTCTGAAGGCGAGATGGGAACTGCCATCGCCCTGCAGGGCTAACGGCTTGTGAGCATTGTGCTCACAGGGAAGTTGAGCTGCCATTGTCCCTCTTTTCCCACCCCAGCATACACACACACAGGGAACTACATGGGCACCATATTGGAAGGTTTAACAGTTCAACCTGGAGTCTTATGGGCTGTAGAAGCAGAATTACAAAGTCATAAAATTTCTTCGGTGCAGGAATCTTTACATCACCCCCACCAATCTTAACCTGGATAATCCCCTGAGCTTGTCCTTCCCATCCTTGGGCCTATTGAGAGCTTGCATTGTGTCAAGCACAGTGCCCCATGCTGTATATAATATTTATTACCTTATTTATTCATTTCACCCTTTTATATAGATCGTGCTTATATTATTATTCCTGCATTGCTGATAAGCAAAATGAGGCCTCGAATGTTAGATCACTGGTTGAAATCCCCAAGTCATTTGTGATAAAGATGAGATTCATCTCCAAGTATGCGAATCTAGAGTAAACACAAGCTGTATTACCTCAATTCATTCATTCAAATACTTATTACTCAGGACGTCCTTCCTTATGTCAAGCTGAAATCTGCTGCCCAGTGTCAATAGCCATTGTTCCTGGTACTACTGTCTGGAAAAGCTTAGACTGTGCTTGCTTTTGTGCCTACGATGTTAGCCGTAATGTCCCTGCAGAATGTTGCTCCTCACACGGTTTATAGAGTCTTTTACTATTGAGCCATCTCTTCTCTTCTGGGGTTCTTTTGGAAGTGAAGACGTGCAGAGAAACTGCTCAGTCTCTATAAGCTATTCCTCTAAGGACTTGTATCTATTACTCTGCTGGCTTCTATTAACTAACTAAAATCTCTAGATCTTTTTACATGACCTTGAAAAGCTTCTTTAAGTTCTCTGACCCTTGGGTTCCTCCCCTGAGAAGTGGAGCGGGGTGATGGCTCTCCTTGGTGGTTATTGCTGGATGTGATGGTTCAGGAGCCATCAGTACCCAGCATTTGGTGAATTCTGAGAATTTTGAGCAACTGTTTGCAGCTATTTGGGCATGTTTGTCTCTCTTTCTCTTGCTGGTTTTGGTTTGATATTAACAGCTAGTCAGGATAAGTGTGGTTGGTCTTTGCGTAGTTTCTGGAACCTACTGGAGAATGAAAGGGCTTAGGGAGTGAGTGTGTGGTGAGGAGTAAAGAAGGTGGCCAGTTCTTCCAAGCTGATTGTAAAGAGGAAGGAGAGGTTGATGTTGTAGAATATTAGACTGATAAAGACTTGCTTATGATTTGTTTTATGGGTGGGAAAGATACGCAGGTGTTTCTGAGGTGAAGAGAAGGAGAAGAGACAGAGTTCTGAATGAAGCAAAGACGTGAAGAATGCGGAGGGATGGGTCTAGACTGCAGGTAGAGGGCTTGTCCTTGAGAAAAAGGAAGGCTTTGCTTTTTGAGTACAGAGAGGAAGGAAAGACCAACAGAAGTGTGGCTAAGTGATGTTGTTGATGGAGGAAATGAACTTTGAGTTTCTTCTTCATATCAGTCTTGTTTACGTGTTGAATGACAAGAGACTCCATCTTGGGTTTGCAAAGAAAATGTTAAGAATCTTCTGTTATGTTTTCTATTAAGTAGAGACATTCAGAATAGGCAGACTTATGTCCTGTGCAGCTGATGGAACCCTGCAACTTGACAGCGAGAGGAAAGACACAGCTTGCTGTAGTCAGCTGGACCGGAGTTCCCAGCTTCTCTGTTCCCCGGCACACAGTGGCTTTGAGTCCGAGCCCTCCCTGAGCAGTGGTCATCTTGCCTACAGACCCTGAACACCTCCACCCTCTTCACAGGGCCCATGTGAGATTCAGTAAGGGAACACATGTCAAGTTCCTACTAGAATACCCAGAGTATGGTGAACTTTCTTTTGCACAAGCCAGCCTTTTAGATATGCTCAAAATGGCCATGTTTTTACAAAGGAGTATATTTTTGTCAAAAAGAAAACCATGAAAGCCTTTTATTCATTGTAATTGGTAAGGCATCCTTTTCATATCTTTTGGAGGAGACATATATGAAACTGATGGAAAAGAACCCAATAACATTTTCCCTTTTTTACTTTCTAGATGGAATACAGGAAAATAAGAGAGACGGGAGAAAGCCTTTATTCCCTATTGTCATACCCTCCGGATTCTGTCCTCTTGCATGTCTTGCATGCCTGCAGCCATGCCCTTAATCAGCTCTTGTGTTCTTCCGGTCCTGGATCTGCCTTTTCTAAGTGTTTGTCACACCAAAGTCATGGCAGCTTTCTCCTGATGTCGTTGCTCTGCACATGCTAATCAGTAACTTCTCCACACAGTTCCTACCGGGGCATAGCCATTCTCCTTAACACCCAGTGGGCATTTCTCAGTGATTAGCTTCTTTGAACCCTGGCTCAGGTATTGCCTTCTCCCTGAATCCCTCTCTGGGCATCCTATGCACTCTGGTAGCCTTTTATTAGGTTCGCCTCCCCTCCCCTCTCCTTTGCTCTCCTCCCTTCCCTTTAACTTCTCCACACAGTTCCTACCGGGGCATAGCCATTCTCCTTAACACCCAGTGGGCATTTCTCAGTGATTAGCTTCTTTGAACCCTGGCTCAGGTATTGCCTTCTCCCTGAATCCCTCTCTGGGCATCCTATGCACTCTGGTAGCCTTTTATTAGGTTCGCCTCCCCTCCCCTCTCCTTTGCTCTCCTCCCTTCCCTTCCCCTTGCTGTCTCCTCCTCCTCCTCCTCCTCCCCCTCCTCCTCCTCCCCCTCCTTCTCCTCCTTCTCCTCCTCTTCCTCCTCCTCCTTCTTCCTCCTCCTTCTCCTCCCCTTCTTCTTCCTCTTCCTCTTCCTCTTCTTCCTCTTCTTCCAGGCAGGGTCTCACTATGTAGCTCTGGCTCATCTGGACTCACTATGTAGACCAGGCTGACCTCATAGAGATCCCCCTGCCTCTGCTTTTTGACAGCATCTCATGTATCTCAGGCTGGCTTCAAACTCACTATGTAACTGAGAATGATCTTGAACTCCTGATCTTCCTGATTTTACCTCCTTACATCTTTAGCCCTTCTGTTTCTCTTTCCCTCATGCTGGAGCTAGAGCCCAGGGTCTTGTACATGCTGGGCAAGCTCTTCTACCGAGCTGTACCCTCCAGCCTTCTCCTTTCTGTTTTGTTCATAGCTTAACATGTTGTACAACTATAACTCAAGTGTTTTGTTTCCTGGGTTGCCTGTCTCCTTCACTGTACTCTTTAGAACGTGAGCTCTTTTGGCCAAGGATCGTAGTCTGCTTTATTCTCAGGTGCAAGTCAAACTTTTGGCTCATGGCAATGGCTAACAGATATGCCATTAAAATAGCCATTCAACAACAGTGTCTTTGGCTTCATTTGTAATTCTCTTGGGTCCTGATCCTTGTTCAGTCCATCCCCATCCTGAGCTGGACATATTGAGCCACAGATATGCTATTGGACCTTTGCCTCTGGACCTTTTCATATGCTATTCCACCGGAGTCCAGTGACCTCCCCTCTCATCCCTCAGATTTTATCTTAGGCACCATTTCCTCTAGAAATCCTTTTGTGACCCAAATGATGAGTTAAGCTGCTATCTTGACTCCTCAGAGCCCCATGACCTCATTCAATCTCCTCTCCACATCGCTCACTCTGTAGTGTCATCTACTTTCCCAGGTTGCCTATTTCTTTAGAGTGTGAAATCTTGTGCCTTGCTCGCCACTGCATCCCAGCACTAAATGCATGGGTAAGGAGAGCTGCTGAATGCATTTTTGCTAGGTGACGTTTGAATCAGGGAGAACGTGAATTGTTTGGACGTCAAATCAAGGAGGCATGTTAATATTCTAGTGCAACAAAGAGCAGACTCTTGAATGTTCTTGATTATGAACCAAATCCAACCCTTTCCATTTGGCAGGATTCTTTGCCCACAAGGTGGAACATGAAAGCAAGATGCAAAATGGGAGGAGCTTCCAGAGGACCGGAACACTTGCCTTCGAGCGGGTCTACACTGCCAAGTGAGTCCAAACTCAGATGCCGATCTAACAGTGGGAATGTGGGCTGGGCATAAGGGAGTGAGATTGTCCTCCAGGCTACATCTGCCCCAGTCAGCCTTCAGAGTGTTCAGGAGGCAGGTTTCTAGGAAGGTTAAACTTCATGTGGAAGGCTTCTTGCTGCCCTTCCTCATCTTCATGAGCAGGAGCCTTGGAGGAAGGAAGTGGGTTTTGGGGGAAGGGAGGTGTGGTCCCCATAGTCCAGACACACTGAGTCAGTCATTTAGTGCTTGAGCTGACCAGTTTCCTGTGGGTGTGGGCATCCTTCAGCATGGGCCAGCTGTGACTCCCAACAGCTCTAGAAGTCTTCCATACACCACCCTCACCTTGCCTGTGGCAGTCTGGAAGTGACACCAGTACATTTCATACATGGGGTCCCCTTGCACAGTCAGAACAAGAACAGTAAGAATGAGGCATTGTGCAATATATTTCTCTGCCCTCTTGCCTTGACTATTAAATAGAAAAGTTGTTGGGAGACACCTACTTGAATGACCCTGGAAAGAGGGTTCTGGGGATCTATTTAGTATGTAAATCTGAAAGAATGTTACTTTTTTCTTTTATGCACAAGGTATTTAAAGAAGGTCATCCAGGGGTGTTGTCCCTGACTAAGAGGCCTGTTGGGAAGGAAGTCTCCATGGTTTGCTGTAGGATACCTTGGTAGCTGGAGTCAGTTCCAGCCCAGGGTAACTTTGATGTTCCCAGAACTGCTTCCAAAGGAACAACAGTAGGAACAAAGCCAGGGACGCATGGGGAAGGTCAGATGGCTCCCAGCCCCTACCAGATCTATGTAACTTAGAGATGGCAGACCCCACTTAGCTATCAGTGGTTTCTTGTGGACTACACAGACTCCAGAATATGGGTGGGACAGACCTCAAGGACATACCTTCTCTTCTCTCCCTTTCCTTGTGTAGATACCATCTGGTCCCTTGGTCCTTTTAAGCCACTCACATTGCCTCTACAGAGCTAGGCCTTTGCTTTTTATCCCACCCCTCTGCTCTTCCAAGCAGACACCTCAACCAGGGCTATTCTGGCAGTTAAAGCTCAAGGAAATCTTTGCTGAAGCACCACAGGGAGGTGTCTTTCTTCACATCTGGGTCTTTGGGGGCATCAATTCTCAGAGTAAATTTAAGGCATTAAAAGATGTGATTTATGCATGCTGTCACAAAGACCATGCAAACTCAATCAGATAAAAACCAGCATAGAACTGGAAAAATGGTCGGGAACCCCAACCTTATCTGAGGAACTACTGGCAACTGATCATTGCTGGGTGAGGAAGAGTTGATCTTTAAGGACATGACCCTAGATAGGTGAACAGGCACCAGTGGATGAACTCACACCAAGAGACAGCTAGGTACATAATACTTGACTCGGTAGGCCTTAAGGTATATGACAGAATGCATGAACTCCTGTAGGTGGGCTATGGGTGGGTGCAGAAAGGGGAAGGGGGTCTAAATATGATTAAGATCGATGAAATCTACAAAATTTCAATAAAAAATTGTTAAACTTTGAAAAAAATGTTAAGAAAGAGATGTGATATTACAGTCCCATTTGAAGCAGGAGAGGAAAAATATGTAGGTTACCCCCAGTCTTTCCACACCATTTTCTGTGTGGGAAATACAAAAGGGTCCCTCAGGCACATTGTGTGTGAGATGTAAAGTTATCTCTGATCAGGGGTGGGGACAAAATCTGCTCTGAAAGTGGAATTGGAAGAAAGTAATCACCATCCCGCAGTGGGAAGAACAGCGTCCTCTGTTCAGACAGTTACATTCTCACAGTGATGTTGAGGTTTTTTTTTTAAGAGCTGTTTATTTTTATTTTTTCTGTGTGAGTGTCTGCATGTATGTATGCGCACCACATGTGTGCCTAGGGTGTCAGATCCCCTGGGGCTAGAATTACAAGATGTTGTAAGCCACCATGTGGCCTCTGTGAATTGAATCTAGGTCCTCTCCAAGAGCAGCAAGTGCTCTTAACCACTGAGCACCTCTCCAGCTCCTGATACTGGGTTTTTGTGGAATCTTCAATCCTCTAGTAAGAAGAGACAGTAGAAAGGCTCTGTACCTTCACAGAAGATGAGTTCCCATTGCACTGGGCAATGCATAAGAAATGGAGCAGCCTGGGTGGCCTCACTGATTTTTTTTTTTTTTAATTTTTCATTTTGACACAGAGTCTCACTATGTAGCCCAGCCTCAAACTTGTAATTTTCTTGCTTTTGCCTCACTTAGTGCTGGGATTCCAGATGTGTATCACCACACCTGACTTTGGCCATCCCATATCTGCCACTTCCCTATAGGAGTGAAATGGCTGTTTCTAAGAGCTCGGTATGCTTATATCTGACCTTGATGGCTGCCAACCTCCAAATTGCAGAAGTGCCCTCTGGCTGGTGATTGAGTGTCATCACTTGGGAGAGCGGCTTGGACATTCTGTGATTGCATGGGGATTCCAGAGGCAGGAATATATACAAAGAGAGTAGTGAACAATTGATGTGCCTGCCACAGCTACCCTGCAGCCCGGGTTTCAAAATCTGTGGGTCTTATTGAGAGGAGAAGGAGATTGAGGGGGTAGGGGAGTCATGTAGAGAGGTAGGAAGTAAAGAGATGAGGAAGAGAACTTTCTGTAAAATAAAGATTGCTCAGATGCTACTGTGGTTGTGCTACAAAGACCACTTCCTCTCTGGGCCAACAACCATCTGTGTGTGTGCACATGTAGGGTTATACAAAGAGACTGGAGATCTGTGTAGCAGGCTACTGCATGGTGGCCAAACCCAGGGGTACTCTGGATGTTTGCCTGTGCCAGGAGACTGCCAGGAAGAAGGTTATGTGTTTTTCTGATAAAAAGTCATTTCAGCAAAGATTCTCCAGGGGCCGCCAAAAGCACCAGGAAAGGGGCCGGAAGAAAGAGCATGTATTTCCTCTTGCTATCTAAATTGTAAGAAACGATGCCGCACCCATTTTTCACATACAGCTTCCTAGTAGTACATATACTCTATGCAACTTATGCATAAACAGATTTGTCATAAGCTTGCATGATCCAGGTTGTTGTTGATGAGGAATAAAATCATGAATGTTTGATCTTTTGGCTGGGAAGGAAAAATAGCATGAAGGATAAATGGTATTTACTGGTGCACTGAAGAGCCGAATGCGTGTTATGTTCGCATGAATTATGACTGCTGAGGAATATAGATAGCTTGAAACTCCAGGGCAGTGAATTAATGGACGCCCCAGCCTGCACAGGCCATCAGAGCAGACTTGGCCTTGATTAATGGCCTTTCTGACTACCTGTCTTGCACTAGGGCACTGCTGACTCAGGGCTTGAGAGAGAAAATGAGCTGTACCTTGACTCTTTCACATGTACAGAACGCAATTCAATGCACTGCTCTTGGAGCATGAGCACAGCTAGTAAGCTGTAGTTAAAGTTTGGTTTGGGTGAAAAATCCTAGTTAGATGACTGTGGGTTCATCCCTGTGAGTACAGGTAAGCACAGCTACCGAAAGGAGATGCATAATTTCCTAAAGTGTGTTCTGTCGTTCCAAGTTCACAGGTCATTAACAAGCGTAGTAAGAACAAGTTCTTCATAGTGATCTCTGAGAACCTGTAATGTGCTCAGGGCAGCATGGTTCTTAGTTCTCCAAGAGGGGGTTGTCTTAGTTTTTCAAGATATTCCTCCTCCCTCTCATTTTTTTGTCAGAACACATTTTGAGAGATGCCACCCTGTCACGACACTCCTGCATCTCTTGGTGTCCACTGTGGACCACCTTCAAGCAGTGTAGGCTTGTACAATTATTCAAAGTCACTCATTACAATGATCCTAGAACTGATAATATTATTAACTCTTATTCATGGTATTTCCTTAAATTTATCCAAACAAATGAACAGAATTTCAAGGTGAGTCTCTATTGTATTCATCCAGGTGGGAAAAAAAGAAAGAGCCTAAGACCTCTGCTCCATAAGACAGTGAGGCTGTAGGGCTTTAACTTGAATGTAACATGGTGAATTACTGCAAGATTAGCTAGGCAGACCCTGTTTAGACCTCAAAGTGAGAGTCAAGATGGGTTTATCACTTCTGGTTTACATCACCACCACCACCACCACCACCACCATCACCACCACCATCATCATCACACTCATGAAAAGAAAAATCCAAAATAATAGCAATATGTCAGTAGGAAAGGGCATTTTGGGAAGGTTTCATTCAACTCTACCAACTCTGTAATGAATATGTTTTATTAGGAATCAAGGTGACTGAAATAATAGTAGGAAGAATTGAAGACCTGTTCTACTCACTGAACAGTTTTCTCTAAGGAATAGATTCCTGAGCAATTAAGGGTACCCCCCCCTCCTCTCCACCTTTTCATCACCCAGTCCCAATCACCACTTCAGAGGCAGTGGAGATGACTCAGTCAGAAAAGTGCTTGCTATGCAAGCATGAGGACCTGAGTTCCATCCTCAGCACCCATATGAAAAGAAAAGAAAAAGCTGGGTACAATGGCACAAGCTTGTAACTCCAGTGTTGGGGAGGTATAGGTGGCTCCCTGGTACTCCCTGACCAGCAGTCTAGCCCAATCCACAAGCTCCAGACCCTGTCTCAAAAAATAAGGCGTAGAATGATTGAGGAAGATACCCACATCAACCTCTGCCCCGCCACACATTAGGATCTCCCCACACCAAAGAAAATCACTACTTCAAAACAAACAAAATCCCCCCAAACATGAGAATGAGGCTGAAGCATGGAGAAATCTTTGATATGAATAGATTTTCGATCTGATCATCTGACATAGGGTGTTATTCAACCAGCTGAAAGAGGAGCTTTTCTCTAGTTTTCCTGAGTGGGAAATGGATTGCATGTTCCCAGTCCTGAGGCTGAAGTTCTGCACCTTTATTGACATGTGAGCATAGGAGTGCTGCTGCTGTACTGGGCTGCTGCATTTTAACTGTGGCCCTGTTTAAATGGTAAGCACGGCACTGCAAATGGACGGTGTGTAAGAGCCTCCGGCCCTTTGGAATCCTATGGTGTCTGCTAGACCTGTGGAATGTCTGCAGATCCAGAGCACGACACTCTGTAAGGCTGGCAGGGCTCTGCTTTGTGTGCTGTGCCTGGTCTTTAACTGTGTCTATCTCTCAGGACAGGAGATGTGGCTTTGTCACTGACTTTTCCAGTAAGAGACTCTTTGGCCATTGAGGGGCATAAAGATCCTTGTGGCTGGGCAAGGACAACCTGACCTCTCCAGGGTCTCTGTACTATATGGAACAAGGACTGGCTAATTCACTTGTATTGATTGATTTTGCACTGCTATAACAAAATACCCGTCTCAGGCTACTTATGAAATTGATTTATTGAGCTCATGATTTGAGAGGTTCAAGTTCAAGATCAGATGGTACCATAGGATTGGGTCTCTGGTGAAGGCAGCACGTCACAATGGGGATATATATGTTAGTCTGCGTGTTCATATCTCAAGTCAGGAAGGAGGAGGAGAAAAGGGAGGTGAAAGAGGAGGAGAAAGAAGGAAGAAGAGGAAGAGGAAGAGGGGCAGGAGGAGAAGGAGGAGAGTGAAGCAAGCTCTATATAGAAGGGGAGGAAGGAGAGGAGACAGATTGTCCTATAATCCCCTTCAAGGGGACAGCTTCGATGACCTAATAGTCTTCCACAAATGTACCTCCTGAAGGTCTTCAGGATCACATTCTGGTAAATAGATGGGCTTTTGGGGGATGTACCCATATTCAAACTAGAACCAGAGTACCAGAGTTCTTAGTGGCTCCATTAAGGAGTGAGACCTAGTGAGAAGCAGTTTGCATATCTCATTTTGGATTTCACCTGTATAGTCTGGATCCTGTTAACCCATGATTCTCAAACTACACCAGGCACAGAACTACCCAGAGGGCTAACTAACCAAGGGTTGCTGAGCCCCTTCCCCATTTCTTAAGGCCATGTGTCTGAGGCGACCACAAGCATTTGTGTGTCTAACAAGTTCTCAGGTGCCGTGGATGCTGCTGGTGTGGGGCCACCTGAGAATCTCTGTGTCGCACCACTGACTTAGAGCCCAGGGATAGTTCTTGCTGCTCTCTTAGTTGTAGGTAAGGAAGCCAAGCCTGGAGAGGTGGCATTGTCAATTGTGAACAGCTGGTTAAAGTCAGACCAAGGACTAAGTCCTAATCAACTGTTCTTTCCACAGTATCATGTTGCCTGTATAACTCTCCAGCCTTTGTTTTGTTTTTCCATATTTCTTGTACATATTTTTTATCCCTGTCTAGACTGCAGGTGCCTCAGAGTGACATTTACTATTTACATAGTCAGAGTTACAGGTCTGACTCTGGAGACAGACTGACCAGGTGTGAATCCTGGCCTCCCCTCAGCCCCCACTCCCAGGTGGGAGACCCTGGCAGGTTAATGAGCAGCTCTGGACCTCAGCTTCTCATCTGAAACACGACTATATGGTAGTTATGGCAGGCTGAATAATGGCCCTTAATAATGCATACATCCTAATCCCGAAGGCTGTTATAGCCTGGCATGGAGAAATTCAGTGACCTTGAAAAGGGTTGCCCTGAATTATATGGGTAGACTAGTTATTTTTATGTGTCTGTGTGTCTGCCATGTGTGTGTGGGTGCCAACAGAGTCCAGAAGAGGGTGCCGGATCCCTGGAGCTAGAGTTACAGATGGTTGTGAGCCACTCAACATAGGGGCTGGGATCTTAAGCCCTGATCAATCTTTGCAACCTACAAATGGAATCTTTTCAATGGGAAGGAGTCAGGTTTCACATTAGAAAGGCTCATTTGCCATCCCTGGGTTTGGGGTTGGGAGGGGCCATGAGCCAAGGAATGCTGGGGATCCCTGGAGTCTGGAGAGTCAAAGCAATGGACTCCCCGTAAAGCTTCAGAGAGAACACAGCCCTGTCCATACCTTGATGTTAGTCCAGGGAGACCCATTTCAGACTCTAACCTCAGGAATGGTGAGATGATGAATTTGTGGTGTTTTAAGCTGCTGAGCTTGTGGCAGTTTGTTACAATAGCCAAGGAAACTCATAGAGTCACCTTGTACAGCTATAGGTCTGTGGGGAGTTTAAAGGAGGCGATAGATGGCAAACTAGCACAGTGCCTGGCATAGAGTGACTGCATTCTTGGGGAGTGAGGACTGTGCCTGGCACTCAGCACAGTCAGACATTTTCTCAAATGGGTTTTTGTGAAAGAACCTTAGCTTCTTTGGGGCTTTGATGATCCTTTCTCTACCTGGTGTGCTGCTAGCATCTGACATCAAGTTTTTCTTAGTTGGGCCTTTGGGCTTTTCCCACCCTGCCACCCCCACTCTGACGTGGTCACGCCTTGTCTGCATTGCTCATTTGTCAATTCCAAGAAGTGCTTGGGCACCGCCAGCCACAGGAACCCTGCCAAAGTGAATCCAGCAAGAAGCCCCATCTCCCATCGTCCTCACCTAAGAGCAGAGTTAATGGATTCTGAGCCCACTTGCTTGTCACCGCTGTCTGTTAGATGTAGTGCTGGCTGTCACCTCTTTTGGGTAGATGTAAGAGGAAGGGTGAGGGAGCCCATGATCCTTGCACAATGGTGATCATGAACTTGGGGTTTCAGCCACATTGTAGTTACATGTTTTCTGATTTCTTTCCTCCTTGTTTTCTCTACAGCCAGAACTGTGTAGATGCATACCCCACCTTCCTTGTGGTGCTCTGGACTGCAGGACTACTTTGCAGCCAAGGTAACTGTGACTTTCCTTTGTGAGTTCTTTTTCTATAATGTGCAGCTCACGGAGGTACAAAGGGCAAGCATTTTGTTGAAATGCCTCAACCTGACCTCTACTTCCCATCTGTAAAGCCCTGGAGAGATGAGAGCCCTGGGGAGGTTATGTTCTGGGCATATTTGGTGCCAGCCCAGCGTGATGTGATAAAGCATTACTAATGCTTGCTCCCTGGTGGCTGGTTGAGAGTGCTGCACTGACAAGGGTGGATTAAGGCTAAATGTGACTCAGAATCCGTGAGCAGTGTTAGCTTAGATACAAGGGCATTATAAATGAGAACGCCTGGGGGATCTATTCTGGGACTGTTTTCACTGGCTCTTCTGCTAATAAGCTCCTGGCATGGTGGGCATGCATCTAGAGAGTCATGGGCTGGATTCCAGGCCCCCAGCTTAACCTGGGTTATCAGCTGCCCACACACAGTCTTGTCTTCAGCAAGTTGGAAGAGCAGATTAATTTCCAGAGTTGATTTCAAATTAAATTGAAACCAGAATCCTATTTTTGAGGGGAGAGGGTTCTCTTTGGAGATTGAGCACCAGAAAGGCATTTGTCTGGTGGTGGCTTGGGGTGAATGGACCAGCTTCTGGGGCCCATTGGGGCCCATGCAAAAATGCCACAAGCAATCATTTGACAAACTATTGGATTAACATCATCTATTCTTCTGTAAAGTATGTCAAGTGGGTATTAGTTTCCCACTATCCTTGAGGACACTTTGGTTCAGGAAACACATCATTTGCTCAATATTATTCAACTGGTGAACCTCAGGGGCAGGATCAGAGCTCAACTCTTTCAGTTCTAAATTCTAGGATTTTCCTAAGCATCTCTTTACTTTATTAATTTATATAATAAGTACTCTTTGAACATCTTCTTTAAGCCAATTCTGATATTTAGGGCTAAAGAAAACAGAGATGAACCATAGAAAAGTGGGTGGAGGGGGCTGAAGAGATGGCTCATTGGTTAAGAGCACTTGCTGCCCTTGCACAGGCCCTGACTTTGGGTCCCAGCATCCAGGTCAGGTGACTCACAACTGCCTGCATTTCCAACTCCACTGGGATTCAACGTCTCTGACCTCCTTGAGCATCTGCACTCAAGTGCACATATCACCCCCATAATCACTTAGATGAACAGCAGAAACCACTAAAGGGATATTTGTAGCCTCTTTTGGTACCTGGAAGGTTGTCAGTAAATTCATCCTTTATTTTCCATTTTCTGTCCTGAGTGAAATAAGAAACATGCCTGACATTATAGGAAAAATCAAGTTAAGGAACATTTATACTAGGAATTATGAATCTTATGTCTGGTTGGTACTTGATAAATCTGTAGCAGCTCCGTAGATACAGAGTCTGAAGGTTTCTCAGAGCCCTGAAAATAAGCACCTTTTGTCAAGACAAACATTGGTGTTGCCAGGGCTCAAATGTGTCAGTCAACCCTGGTTGGTCACTGTCATTTTTCATGAATACAGTGAATTATACAAGTTTTTGAGCTGAAAGGAACTCCAGAGATCATTCTATTCCAAGGCTCTTAGAGAGCATCCCAAGATCTAGAGGGACAAGTGGCTTACTTAACTTCACAATTTTAGGGCCTGAATCTGTTGCTGGTTCATGGTCCACATGACCCAAACGCCTATTAGGTCTCTGCCCAGTCTCTATAGAACACAGTGGGTATGAACCCTTTCCACCCCTGCTGTCTATTAATTCATGTTCCTAGTGAAAGAGAAATGGGTTGTTCAGATGGGAGAACTGTCCAAGGCTAATCATTGATTGTGGTAATCGTGGGACTTTTAGAGATTAGGGCATGCCTCATAGTTTCATCTCTCTCATGATGTTTCCCAGGCTGGCCTTGAACGTGTGATGCTCTTGCCTCAGCCTCCCAAGTTCTGGGATTACAAGTGTGAGCCATTATGCCCAGCGTGTTTTTTAGCTTTTCTCAGCCTAAGTTTCCTTACTGTAAAACAGGACCATTATCTACTTAGTCTTGCATTCCTGTGGCGAAAAAGGGAGATAATGTGCCTAAAGCCCTTGACCTGTTCTTGGCACAGATCAGTTGAGCCTTATAACTGCTGATATCTTGACTATCTATAACCAATAAACTGTTACTTTTGCATGGTTTAAATTAACAATGGAAGCTTTACAAAAGTTATTGCTGCTGCTGCTGGTGGTGATAAAGTTTTGAAGTTAGACAGATCTGGAAATTAGAATCACTTCTCTGATTATTTTGCTAACTTAAAAAAATTCATTTGACAAATATTTTTGAAAACCTAAATATATCAGGCACTATGCCAGGCACAGAGGTGATCTGGGAAAAGACAATTGTTTTTATAGGTCCTTTACTCTTTGCTTAGATTTCATCTTCTACCCAATGGAGACAGCAAAGTGGTCCCAACCAACATGTGGCTGTGAAATCCACGACCCCAGTGTGCTTGGAGGTGCCTGGCCTGTGCAAAGTGCTCACCAGTGGAAGCTACTTTAACCATTAGGCAATCTCTGGCTGTGGAAGCTACTTTAGAGTGTGAATGATGCTTGAAGGTTTTCAGAGTGTTTTTATTTCTTAAAAAAATTTTGGACTTACTATTTCTATTTTAAGTGTATGAGTGTATTGCCTTCATACAGTGCCCATAGAGGTCAGAAAAGGGCATCAGATTCCCTGGAACTGGAGTTATAGATGGTTGTTAGCCACCATGTGGGTGCTGGAAACTGAACCTGAGTCCTCTGCAAGAGCAGCCAGTGCTCTTAACTGCTGAGCCACCTGTCTAGTCCTGAATGTTTTTATTTTTATAGTCCTATTTCACTAGTCTCTTTTTTTTTGGTCTTTTTGAGACAGGGTCTCCCTGTAGCCACAACTGGCCTGGAACTCACTATGTAGACCAATCTTGCCTTGAACTCACAGAGATCTGCCTGCCTCTAGCTCCAAAGTGCTGGGATTAAAGGTGTGTGCCCCCAAACCCATCCATTCACCACTCACTCTTAAAGGTAGGAGAGCTGTAATCAGCCTTTGTCCCTCCACAACCAGTGATCACGCTAGTCCTAGTGGAACTGGGGCTTTCAGCTCCTAATTCCAAGTTCAAGATTCTACAGGGTGACTGGGGTGCTGTCTGTGGCTGTTCCCCAACCGGCTGGAAGGCAAATGAGCCTTCTTCCCTAGAGGCCTTCTCTAGAGAGTAGAAATTAGCCAGGAAGCTTGCATTGTGTTACCAGAAGCCCTGAGGGTACAGCACATCCTCTCAAGAGAAACCTCAGAACTAGGCTTGAGTTCAAGTTCTGACACCTTCCTTTCCTGTCTTACCAGCTGATAGCCTTATGCAAGCCCCTTTGGCTACCTGTGCCCAGTTTCCATATTTAGAGATAGACATGTTGAAAGAATTCACAGGATATGGTAGGTAAAGAAGTACCTCGTGTACCATGCGGAGGGCTGGCATAAGGTAATCTGTTGTCAAAGCTCTTAACTTTCTGCCAGCCCTATGACTTTTGTTTGAAGTGTATGCTAGCCTCCATTGTCAGAACCTGTGACCAGTGCTGGCATCATGACTGACCGGCTGTTACTACTGTGCTAACAAAGCCTGTTTGGGAGACTGTGAAACTGACACATCATCTTTTCTTTTCTCTACTTAGTTCCTGCTGCCTTTGCTGGACTGATGTACCTGTTTGTGAGACAGAAGTACTTTGTGGGCTACCTGGGAGAGAGAACTCAGAGGTGGGTCTCAGGATGTTCAAGAGCCTGGTATGATGCATGCTATTCTGGTAGGAGGGTGATAATGCTGAGCAGTATTCTCACTGCCGCTGAAGGCTCAGGAGGACCACTCTGCATGGAGGGCACACAGACTAGGATCCCCTCCTCCCTGAACTTTGAGATTTCTGAAAATACAGCTGGGGACTTGTCTGATTTTCCTATGAAAAATTTCCTTTGCATAGTGTTGACTCACAGTGGATGCTTCAATACTACGTGCTGTACATTTCTTACCACCACATGCTAGTTATTTCCAACTGCAGAATCTGGGGTAGCAGTGACTTTATGTCTAATTTCCCAGGCCTCTTGTGAATTAAGTTTCATTGTTTGTCAATAGAAATGGGATCTAAAGTTTGTAACTTACCACAGCTTCTCTGGAGTAACAGATCTGGGGGCCTGCAGGACTGTAGAGAATATGAGACACAGTTAGATGCAACTGTGAGACCGTGGATGGTTCCCCATTGCACTGTCTACAGATGTGCCTCATCCAGCCTTCCCCATCACTTTGTTTCTTGGCTACATTCTCTACCTTCTCTAGTGGCTAATGTGCCCTCCCTTTAGATAGCATACTTCTTTTTTAAAAGGTTTATTTTCATTTTTAATTATTGCTATTTGTGTGTGTGTGTGTGTGTGTGTGTGTGTGTGTGTGTGTATGCGTGTACATGAGTGCAGGTGCCTGAGTAGGCCAGAGGTGTCCGATCCCCTGCAGCTGGAGTTCTGGGCATTGTGAGCTGCTTGAAATGGGTGCTGGGAACCAAACTCTGGTCCTCTACAAGAAGAGGAAACACTCTTAACAGCTGAGCCATCTCTCAGCCCCTACTGCATACTTCTGCAGTGACCTCCTGGGGGGGGGCGGTAGGTGGGTGCTACCCATGGGAAGGGTGGAAGCTTGTGGAGCTCAGTGATTTGAAGAGTTGATGATGAGCTGGGCTGCAGTCAGGAAATAACTGAAGGTTTTGATGGAAGCTTTTCCCCCCTTCTCTCTGTCTTATTCCTCTCTAATGGCATTCTTACCTATCCCTTCAACCGCAGTCCTGCTGCCTCTTTCATTCTAATCAATACTGTTCTAAATGATATCTTTCATTGTTTTTCACCCTGGAAAATATCTGACCATGCCTTTCCCCTGGTGACTCTCTGTTGCCTCCATAATTACCCCACCGTGCTTTAGAACATTAAAGACTTGTTCTTCTATCTGACTGCACCCCTCTACCTGTTAACCATCCTCTCTTCATCCTCCCTCTCACACACATTTTCTAGACACTAGTAACCACTATTCTGTTCTCTACTTCTTTGAGAATAGACAAGGATTTTTAATTTCTACCTATAAAGACACAACGATATGTCTTTCTGTGTTTGATTTTTTTTCCAGTTCCATACATGTTGCTACAAAGTATAGAATTTATTTCCTTTTTATGGCTGAATTTAAATCTCTATCTCTATGTATATATGTACACCTACTCTTAGAATACTATTCAGCCATAAAAGGAAAAAAATATAAAACCTTTATTCACTGATGAACATTTAAGTTGATTCTGTATCTTGGCTATCACAAATAATATTGCAGTAAATACGTAAGTGCAGACAGATGTCTCTTCTATACATTGATTTTGGTTATTTGGCTGTAGCTAGTAGTGGGGTTGTTTGAACATGTAGCTACTTTTTGTTGTTTTTTTATTTATTATTTTTAAATTTTATGTGAATGAGTGTATTGTTTACATGTATGTAAGTGCACCTGTGTCATGCCCGAGGAGGTCAGAAGAAGGCATCAGATTCCCCCAGAATTGCAGTTATGGACAGTTGTTAGCCACCATGTGGGTGCTGGGAATTGAACCCAGGTCCTTTGCAAGAGCAGTCAGCGCTCTTAACTGATGAGCCATCTCTCCAGTCCCACTTTTGGTTGTTTTTAAGGAACTTCAACATTGTTTTCCACATAGCTGTTCTATTTGTCCAGAGAATGATCTACCACAACCGTACTTTTGGTTTTGAATGAGTGAGTTTATTAAGTATATAGCAAGCCAAGGAATAAATAGCAAATACTACATAGATAGGAAAACGTCATCAAATCAGGCACTCAAAACATCTAGCAGAAATAACCGGGGAAACATTGTTGGAAATCAGCTAGAGTTTTTGATAGAGAGATTCCTGGGCAGAACAGAGTCCGGTGAGGCTTCCAAGTGAAACAACAAACAGTAACATTATCAAACCAGGGACTTACAAGCATGCAGTAGAAACCCACTGGAGAAGCTGAGGCAGCAAACTGGCTTGCGGACTGGGCTTCCTCTCCATGGCTAAGCTCCCCATAGCTGACGGTTTAGCCTGCCTTTCTTACTGTAGACATTTTTATATCAAGGGATAAACAGTAGTAACGTCTGTTAAAATGGTTTATGTTCAAGCTGTTTTCAAGGACATGAGTTTCTTACTCTTGGGCTGTTTTGCTGTTGTCTTTCCTTTCTGTCTCTTTCCTTACTGTCACAGAGTTAGGGAGGCCAGCCCATCCTCAGTCAAGGGGCCTTCGAGACACTTTGAGACAAACATGCTTGAGCCTAAAATGGCAGTTGTTAGGGCGGAAACTCTGCTTCTAGGGCCAATTTCTCATTGAGCTTAAACAATACACAACAATGTACCAATATAAGGTACAGTTACAATGGTTGTACAAATTTAAATTCCCACCAATGGGCTCCCATTTCCTGGAAACACTTGGTCTCAGAATCCTTCTTAATGTAGTTATGAGCAGTTGTCATTGACAGAAATGATACATACAGGAAAATTTGAATCTTAATCTAGACCAAAATACAGCATGAGTTGGAGGCACAAAGGCATGCCTAAGGTAGAATGCATATAGCCTGGGGTAGAGAGACAGACCCTAAGATAGAGACACAGAGCCTGAGGTAGCACCTCAGAGCCTGAGGCAGAGGCACTTATCTTGAGCTAGAAAAATAGAACTGGAGGTAGAGACATACAACTTGAGTTAGAGACAAATACAGCCTGAAATGCAGACATACAAACTGGGGGAAAGGCACAGAGCCAGAGGCAGAGGCACACAGCCTGAGATACAGGCACACAGCTTGAAGTAGAGGTGTATGGTCTGAGGTAGAGACATTTATCTTGAGATTGAGGCACAGAGTTAACATAGAGGCTTACAGCTTGGACTAGATGCATAGAGCCTGAGGTAGAGGCATACAGCTTGACGAAGAAGCATAGAACCTGATATAGAAAAGCAGCAGGAGTTAGAGGCACACAGCCTGAAGTAGAGTCTAGAGCCTAAGGCAGAGGCCCAGAGCCTGAGGTGAAGGCACAGAGTCGAGGTAGAGGCATACAGCCTGGAATAGAGTCAGATAGCTTTGGTTAAGCCTGAGTTACAGGCACACAGCTCGAGGTGGAGGCATATGGTTTGAAGTAGAGGCACAGAACCTGAAGTAGAAGCTTACAGCCTGGTCTAGAGACATATAGCCTGAGGCAGAGGTACAGAACCTGAGGTAGATGAATAGAGCCCAAGTTACAGGCAAATACAGTCCAAGGTTGAGGCATAGTGAATAAAGTAGAGGTATTCATCTTGAGCTAAGGGCCAGAACCGGAGGCAGAGGCCAGAGCCTGAGACGGAGTCTTGAGTCTCAGGGAGACGCAGATGCAGAGGCAGACTTTCTGCATTAGAGGTACACAGCCTGAGGTAAAAACACACAGCTTGAGGTTAGAGCATATAGCCTGAGGTAGAGGCATATAGCCTAAGTTACAGGCATACAGTTTGAGGTCGATGCCAGAGCCGGAGGCAGAGAAACACAGCCTGAAGAAGAGGCGCAGTCTGATGTAAAGGCACAGATCTTGAATTAAAGGCATATAGCCTAAGTTAGATCACATAGCCCAATGTTGAAGCACAGGGTCTGAGGTAGAGGTATACACTTGAGATAGAAACATAGAGCCTGAGGTATTGGCATGCAGCCTGGCACAGATTCCGAGGTAGAGCAAAACAGCCTGAGGTACAGTCCTTCATCCTGAAGTAGAGGTACAGTGCTTAAAGTAAAAGCACAGAACCTGGATAGAGACATAGAGCCTGAGGGGAGGCAAACCATCTGAGGTAGAGGCATGTAGTCTAAGACAGAGTCACAGAGCCCAAAAGCACAAGCTTATAACCGGAACTAGAGACACAGAGCCTGAAGAAGAGGCATGTGGCCTGAGGCAGAGGCACGAAGCCTGAAGAGCTAGAGTTAGAGGCAACACAGCCTGGGGTAGAAACACAGAGACTCAGGTAGGGACATACGGACTGGGGTAGAGATACAGAGCCAAGAAGAGGTAGAGGTACAGAGTCCCAGGGAGCAGCATAGAGTCCAAAATACAGGAATAGATCCTGAAGGTCTCTACAGTTAGGTCCTAAAAATTGCCAATGCTACCTCTAGAACCCATTTGCTAAGATCCTCTTTAGATAAGGACCCACCTTCCCATCTCCCTCCCTTCCCTCTGTCCTTGGGCTGTATTGCACTTGGATGATGTAGCTATCTAATGCTTTAGTGCCCCTGGGACCTTCCTCAAATTTGGAGTCACCAACTGAAGGAGACATGGCTTAATGGGAACTTTGCTTGATAATTTCTCTCTTGGGCTCCAGGCCATCTCTTCTTTTTAGAAGTTGTTTTGGCCCTAACTCATTCATGGTTTGGTGGGTGAATAGGAGATCCCTTCATGCATTCTATCCCCTCCTGCCCAGTACATCTTCTTTCTGATTTTCAGTTGCCTTGTGAAGATTTTGTAGCCTCTCTTAATCTTCCTCCTAGAACTTCATGCCTCTTATTTTCAGCCCTTCCTTCCACTTTCTGAGCCCTTCCTCCCTGTCCTGTGCTCCACTGTGGCATAGATATAAAGCAATATTTAAGGACAGACTTCAGTTTCTCCTCTTTCATTCCAAATGATTTGGGGAACAACCAACAAGCTAGGGATATGTTGCAAAAGCCAAAACATCCATCTTACAGAAATAATTATGGGTCTAGTTTTAAATTATTTTTATTATTTATTTGGTTTTATTTTTGAAGCATAGTTGAACTTTATTAAGATACTTTAACATAGACTTTAGGCATCAAGTTTAAGAGAAAGAGAGGTATTTAGGAAGAAAATAAGACAGACCTAAGGAATGTGGGTGTGGGCCTTTCAAAGGAGAGTTGCCTGGACCCAGGCATTAAAGGAGGAGAACTGGCTCTTTGCACTCATCTTTCTCCTTTAGTGTCAATATTTTAGGGTTTTTGGGATCCTCCAAAGGTAGACTGTAGTGGTACTTCACCAGAGGTTGAGGACAAACTTGCTTCTTGTGGAAGCCCTGTGTACACAGATAAAAGTCAACAGGTGTTTCTAAAGGTGAAAGCCTATGGGTGCTTATTAAAAATTCCAACTCCCTGGCCCCAGTCCACACTTATGGAATAAGAATTTCTCCTAGGGACTTGCATTTCTACTTGGTCCTCATATGACTCATACTCAAGCTGGAGTTTTGGGGATCAGTGAAGGCTGTTCCTGCCTCCTTTCTGAGCGTGGCACCTTCCCTTAACAAATATTGATGACAGGCCTGCTTGTTGGAGATACATGGGTGTGTGGAGGAGGCACCCCACTCTCATGGAGTTACAGTTTTCATTTCCTTCAGAAGTCACCTGGTTTAAAGTGATGTTACCCTATTGAAAAGAACAGAATTATAAGAGCAGAAGAGATTGCAAAGTTTTTATCCATCCCTTGTAGTAAGAGTGGTGTTTGTGGGATGGGGGAGGGTTGTGACTGGGCAGAGTGAGGCTGGTATTCAGACCTCTGGATGCTCAGGTTCACCATCTCCCACACCACAGCAGCTGGTGCTGGAAGTTTCCAGCACATTCCAGATGGGAATTGTTGAGCATAATCCCTCTTTTGTGTTTCCATGTAACCTTCATGTTGCTTGTGGAGAGCCTCTTTATTTTGAAATAAATAACCAAATCCTGATCTTCAAAGTATCAAGGAGCCTTTAGGAAGTCAGTGGGTACCAAGAGCAGGACTCCAGCCCCACATAGGCAGGTTTGAACTCCTGCTCTGCCTCTTCTTGGATGTGTGACTTTAGGAAAGTCATTCAGTCTGTCTATGCTCAGTTTCTCCAGCTGGAAAACAGACTAATCACATGTCCTCATAGAGCAGGCGTGGTGAGCTAGAACTTCAACATATAATTTGAAGTGGACCCAAGTGGTCGTGTAACTCTTTTGTTTTTGGATCAGTTTTGCTCACTAATGAGGAGATGGGCTATCTCCTAACATGAGCACAACATGGGTGCACTTACATACATACAGGCAAAACACTCATATGTATAAAATAAAAATAGATTTTAAAAAATGTAAAAAGAACCTTTAGGGTTCCTTTCAAATAGATAAAATTTCTGGTATGAAACTGGGGGTGCCGGACTCTGCTCCCCGATGCTAGCTAGCAGCAGCAGTGTGACCCCACCTGTTCAGCTGAGTTGGCTCTTCTTGGTGAGCAGTCCTGATCTCCCTGATTCCCTTGCTGGATCTTCACTGACAACCTTCTTGAACCATTTCACTGGACTTTCCAGACATTCCAGCTCTACTCACATGGGCCTAGGCCCAGCAGCCACAGGATCTCGCATAGGGAGAGTGGACACAGGTAGACTTTGCATGGCATTAGGTAGTCAGTTCTCATGAGACAATGTCTCTTGTCCTCAGCTGATACTCTGCCCAAGCAGTTTAGGATTGAGGGGGAAGGCGGGGTGGGGGGATATTAAAAAGCTCATCTCTCACAAGATCCTGTCTTCCATTGCTGGGTGCTTAGCAAACTTGTCTTCTTTCCAGGCAGCCTCAGGAGACTGAAGCAATGTTACTGGCTCTTTAAAACCATCACTCCCAACAGGCTCTAGTATACCCAGCCTCTGGCATGGGCCTTATAGACAGTCCTGATAGGGACTACTTTGGAGAGGATCTTAATGAGTCCACAGTATTCCTAAGCCTCAATCAGACTGTCTGACCACTGTCAGAACCTGCCAGCCTCTTGCCATCAAGGACTTGGAGTTAAGGGCATCAAGAGAACTCAGGGAAGCCAGTGCTGATGAGCCCTGCTGATGACGGGCTTTGAATGCAGGCTCCTTCACCTGGCTTTGAAATATATGCAATGACTAATAATAGCAAAGACAGTTCCATCCTCACTATAAAGCAAATGGGTAAATGAAGCATTACCTAGTGAAAGGAGCTATAATTTAACCCCCTTGTGTCTGAAAGTGGCAATATTTTGGGGTGAAAGGGGTGTCATTTGTGTTGCATCTACTGCCTTTTTTCTTTCTTTTCCAGCACCCCTGGGTATATATTCGGGAAGCGCATCATCTTGTTCCTGTTCCTCATGTCCTTTGCTGGGATACTCAACTATTACCTCATCTTATACTTCGGAAGTGACTTTGAAAATTACATAAAGACTATAACTACCACCATTTCCCCTCTGCTTCTCATCCCCTGACTGCTGAATACAGGGCTGGTGCTCTCACCTAATCAATAGAGAGGCATCATAACTCAACCCTTTAAAGGAGTCTGCTTCTCCCTAGGCTGTAGATAGCTGTAAATCTAATAGCCATCTGGGCTCCACAGCTTCAGTTAACCTTGCTTTTCCGGGAAGAAAACAATTTTGTGTCAGCTCCACCCCTTGAACATGGCAGAGGCCCAGGATTTATTATCCAGATTCATGCTGTATGTTTTCTGATGTATCCTGCTCTCAGAAGATGTTTTGTGACCAGGCATGTGTTGTCTTAAAATAAAGTACCACAGACAAATTTTAAGCTGATGACTCAGTTTTGGGGGAATACTTTTTTATTAACTACTGGTGTGTTTCTTCAACCTAAATGATGATAATAAAAAAATACCATATCCATACAATGCACAAGGCCTGTTTAAGGGTCTTTTACTGACCAAGCACCCTCCCCTATACCATATTTATATTCAGTTGGCATCTTAATTCACTAGTGTCATGCCCAACATTTACTGTATTATGCAACTTAGAATGTGTTGTCATTTTCTGTAAGTCTAAGATAATGCCAGACCCATCATAGGTACCATAGGTACCATGTTGAACAAATGAATAAATGATAGAAGGATTTATGAATCACTCACTGGCTGTATTTAATAAAACACACCCTATATTGTGGATAGATTTGTCGGGATCCAGCTGCTTTCACCCTAGGTGCCTCTTGGCACAAAGAGCACAACTTGGAAGATGTGGGTGTAGTCAAACATTCATGACACCCAGCAGAGGAAAGGATACTCTTAGAGGGAGTCAAAGTCACTGGACCAAGCTCTCAATCAAGGTGGTCAGCAATACATGGGTCTTGTTAACTCATCTGAGTATTGCAATGGTCACAGTCCTGGGAAGGATGGGAACCCCATCCATCAGGGAATTCCCATGCCAGCTGCTTCAGAACGGCTGCTTTTGCTCTTAGCTAGCTCTGGAGAGCAGGATGCTAATATCCAAGATAGGCATTTCCCCTCTTTTTGGGGTTAGGAAAGATATGGCTAGTTGGGGATGGAAGTGGCCCCTTGGCTTCTTCATGTTTAGGTTTGGTTTGGAAGGTAGTAGGGTGATCAATGGCCTCCAGTTAGTGTGGATCTCAGGAACTTCCTGAGGTGTGAAGCTTTCTATTTTAAAACTGGCCTGGTCCTGGGAAAACTAAAATGTTCCTCTAAAAGTGGCTGAGGCCAGAATATTCCAGGTGAAGTCTGGAGCACCTTAGTTCCTGGCGAAGGCACTGTTCAAAGCGACTGTGGGACCGCAAGAGAACACAGAAGAAATGCTATGTGGCCAGGCAAGGGCACGGTTGAGGAAAGGGTTAAGATGGAGGTGCAGTGTACATCATACACATGAAGGGGATGGTTTCGGACACAGAACTCCTGAGTGAGCGGCCCCTCCTCTAACTGGAGACAGCATTGTGTACTGGTCAAATTCTCTGTCTTCTGGGTTCCAGGCATGGTGAATCACTGCTTTCTTCTACCGTCCATCCATGACTTCTCCCTGAGCCTCAGTTTGAGCATATGTAAAATTCAGATCATAGTTAATAGTTGCCAAACTATTAATAGTTGTGAGGATTAATGAGGTATACCAAATGAAAATATTCAGCATATAATAAGTGCTGAATAAAACTTAGCTGCTGTAGCTATTTGACTGTTAGTTTTATTGCTGTGCAGCAAATTCCCACAAACCTAGGGGATAAAAACAAAACATACTTGTGCTTTTGGGTCGCAGTTGTACCTTGTTGCAAGTGGGATGGCTGAGAGCTGCAATCTCAGCAAAGGCTCTGTGTTCTCTTCCAGGTTCATTCTTTGTGGCAAAATTCAATTCTAATACCTACAACTTTCAGTTCCTACAGCTTGTCCCCATATTTTTGTCTACATCATGGCAATAGGTCCCTGAGGGCTGTAGGGGAGGGTTTGGTGGTGTCTTTGTGATCTCTAGAGCCCCCCCTTTTAAAGAGAGTTCACTTAATTTGTCCAAGTCCATGCAAGGCAAGTTCACTTTTTTTCTTTAAATAACTTAAATGTTATGGATAAAAATATTTTAAAATTAATTTTTTTGGTTAACATACAAAGAAATGGATTTCTATTATATATATTTAAAGGTTTTATTTTATTATTTTAAAGTTATGTGTCTGTGTGTGGGTATGTGTGCGCGCACGTGTGTTTGTGTGTGTGCCCAGAAAAGGGCATTGGATCCCCTGGAGATGGAGTTCCAGGTTGTTGTGAGCCACCTGATGTGAGTACTGGGAATTAAACTCAGATGCTCTGTAAGAACATGCCTTCTTAACCACTGAGCCATCTCTCCAGCCCCCAGAAATAGATTTCGTTGTGACATTTTCATATACATATCAATATACTTTGTTTTATCCCTCCACCCCCACTGTTCTCTACCATCTTCTTGCCCCTCTTGCTGGTCTCCTTCCTCCCTACAAATGGTTCCCTTCAGCTTTCATGGTTCACGTATTTCATTGCTCTCTCTAGCTTATCCTCTTTGATGGACATCTGAGCTGGGTCTGCATTTTGGCTATTGTGGATAATGCAGCCATAAACTTGGGTATGTAATTATCTCTGTAGTATACTTACTTAGAATCTCTTGGGCATAGATCTAGAGGTGGCATAGCCGATTTTATGGTAGTTCTACTTTTAGCTTTTTTGAGGACACTCCATATCGATCCCCATAGTGGGGCTCTAGTTTTCATACTCACCAGAAGAGCATTTGTTGTTTTTCTTAGTGATAGATTCTGAGTAGGATCAGCAGATCTCTCAAAGTAGTTTTAATTATATTGAACACCTTTTCAATTATTTACTGGCCATTTGTATTTCTTCCTTTGAAGACTGTCTATTCTACTTCCCCTAGCCCACTTATTCATTGGTTTATTAGTATTTAATTCTTAGATTTCTTTATACATTATATGTAGTAATATGATGATTTATGTATATGCAGAAGTTTCCTATTATATAAGCTATCAAACTTAATTTTTTTTTTATTATCATGAGTGTATGTTTGTGTTTGTGTGTGTGTGTGTGTGTGTGTGTGTGTGTGTGTGTGTGTGTGTACTCATGCCATGGTCCACTTGTGAAGGTTAAAGGACGTCCATCTTTGTGGAGTTAGTTCTTTCTTTCCTCCTTTACACGGGTTCTGAGGGTTGAACTCAGATCATCAGGTTTGAACTTTCACCCACTGAGCCATCACACAAATCTTTTTGTCAAGAAGTCCCATTTGTCAATTCTTGGCATCATTTCCTTGACTTTTGGAATCTTTTTCAGAAAGTCCTTGCCCATGCCTATATCTTAAAGTTTTTTTTTTTTCATACCACTTTCGAAGATTCAGGTTTTATATTAAGATCTTTGATCCATTTTTGAATTGGCTTTTGTGTAGGGTGAGGGATAGGGATTTTAGTTCCATTATTTGACATGTGGATTCCAGTTTTCTCAGCACAATTTTTGAAGAGGTTATCTTCCAATGCATTAAGTGGAAGATTTGTCAAAGATTAAGTGGTTATAGGTAGGGGTTTATTTCTAGGTGCTCAACTCTGTTCCATTGATCTACATGTCTATTTTTTTGTGCAACACAACATTTTATTACTATGGCTCTGTAGTATAGTTTGAGATCAAGTACTGTGATGCCTCTAGCATTACTTCCTAAGATCACTTTGGCTCTTTAGAGTCTTTTGTGCTTCTGCTTGACTTTTTTATTTTTATTTTTGTGAAGAATATCACTGAGATTTTGATGGAAATTTCATTGGATCTGTAAGTGGCTTTTGGTAATATAGCCATTTTCACAATTGATTGTGCTAATCCATGATCATGGCAGGTCTTTTAATTTTCTAGTGTCTTCCTCAATTTATTTACTCAGTGGTTTAAAAGGTTTAATTGTAGAGGTCTTTTACCTCTTTGGTAAGGTTTATTCCTAGGTACTTTATATATTCTTGAAGCTGTTGTGAGTGGGACATTTTTATTTTGAGTTATTTCTCAGCAAGTTTGTTATTAGCATATAGAAGAGCAACTGAGTTTTCTGTGTTGATTTTATATCCTATAACTTTGCTAAAATGTTTATTAAATCTAAAAGTTTTCTGATGGGGACTTTAGGGTCTTTTAGGTGTTGAATAATTTTATCTGCAAATAGGAATAATGTGACTTTATTCTTTCCCACTTCTAGCTTTTTTATTTCTTTCTCTTGTCTTAATGTCTAGCTAAGACTTCTAACACTATGGGTGCAGGAAGTGGGCACTCTTGTCTCATTTCTGATTTTATGGGAAATAAACTTTCATTTTTTCTTTCATTTACTATAATGTTGGGCATAGATTTATGATACATAGTCTTTATATTTTGAGTTATAGTCTATTGTTCAAGGCTTTTTTAAATCATGAATGAATGATGAATTTTGTTAAAGGTCTTTTCTGAATCAATATATTGAGATAATGATGTAATTTCTATCCTTAAGTCTATTTGTGTGCCGAATTACATTTGTTTATGCTGAGCCATTCTTGCATTCCTAGAATGAAAACAACATGGCTGTCTTGTATGATCCTCTTAATGTGTTCTTGAATTCAGTTTGCAAGAGTTTTATTGAGAATTTTTCTATGTTTTTCAGGGAACTTGGTCTACAAGTTTCTGTTGTTGTTATTGAATACTTATTTGGTTTTGGTGTCATGGTAATACATCTTCCATAGAATGAGTTTAGCAGTGTTTGTTCTCTATCTATTTTGTAGAACATTTTGGGGAGCATTTGTGGTAGCTCTTCTTTAAAGGTTTGGTAGCATTTGGCAGTAACTCCAACCATTCCCTGGCCTCTTCTTTGTTGGGTGACTTTTCATTGTTTGTGATGGCTCTGTTTAAATTGCTTATATGCTTTTGATTCAATTTTATTAGGTCATATGTGTCTAAGAATTTGTCCATTTATTCTAGGTTTTCCAATTTTGTGGGGCGGGTATAAGTTTCAATGTATTCCTTAATGATCCTCTGGATTTTAATGTATTCTTTAATGACCCTCTGGATTTCATTAGAATATGTTGTAGTCCTCTCTTCATCTCTGATTTTATTAGTTTCTCTTATTTTTTTTCCTTTTGCTTACACTGGCTAGGGAATTGTCAATTTTGCTTAATTTTCAAAGAATGAAGCTCACATTTGATTTATCCTATGTATTGTTCTTTTAGTCTTTATTTCATTAATTTCCATCCTGATCTTTACAATTTATTGCCATTTACTGCTTTTTAGCTTAGTCTTTTCCTGTTTCTCTAAGACCTTGTAGTACAACATTGTTATTTATTTG